TCTTTATGATATGACTAGAGTGTTATTTCCTTATTCTACACTTTATTTATTCTTTTTTTTTACCCTACTTAGATTCCACAAATCCAAGACTTCCTTGCTCAAGCCCCTCAGACTAAAGATTTCCTTACTCAGACCCTCAAGTCCAAGACTTCTTGCTTAGGTTCCACGAAAACATGACTTCCTACTTAAGCCCTTCAGGCTCAAGACTTCCTTGCTCAGATCGTAACCTAAGACTTCCTTGCTTAGGTTCCACGAACCCAAGACTTCTGTTCATACCCTCAAGTAGAAGACTTCTTCTCAAACTCATAGTCTAAGAGTTTCTTTCTTAATCAATAATTGATCAAGACTTTCAATGCTTTAGCACATAGTAGAAAACTTACTTGGATCAAGCTTTTCAGCAAGAGACTTTGATGCTCAAGCATATAAAAAAAAGACTTTATCTAAACTACTAAACATGTTTAGCAGAATAGAGAACAAGGTGTACTTGATACAAAATCAGAGGTACATGGTAATCACCATAACAAAGACCTTAAGCACTTAAGATTTCTAAGATATTTAATATTTAAGAAATCTTAAGGTTTATACAATTTACAACAAATAACAGAATTTCTACATACTTGATTGTGTTGCTTATTGTTGATCTTGTTATTCCTCCATCTAGATAGAAGTGTAAAACATTCCTATACTTTTTGGCTTTCCTTATGTATTTACTCCTTGTTCCTTGTTAAAAATTCAGATTGAATCTTCAGCTACTTATATAGAAGTTGTAGAAGACTAGTTGTTGGAAGAGATAACTTGTACAAGTGTCTTTGTTTTCCCATAGTACAAGAGACATTGAAAAATACACCAAAAGATCTTAATCGATTGTGTAACTTGTTTAACCATTGCATCTTCCATGTAATCTTGTACTATAGATTCGTTGAGAGTACATATCCATAAAACATGTCAACTCTTCTTGAGTCTTGTGAATATAGACTCTAGCTGACAAGCTGATTTGAAAATGAAGCTTGTTTTTTGTGGTAGGGATAACTTTAGCTTTATTACTAATTCTGAATGTTCACCAGAAGTTGATACATTTACTAAGTGTGGAGACAATATGTTTCTTTTTTGATGCTGAGGCCTTTAGCTTCCGAGTCTACGACAAACATCACTTAGAGAGTGCTCTTCAGATTCTGAACCACCAGAGGCTAGTAACTCGGCCTTTCTCAAGTGCGTCCTTATATAAAATTTTGAAAGTGTTTTCTTTAAGCTTTAGAACCTACGTACTTGGAACACACATTAGATAACACCATTTTTTTCAATACTTTGTTATCATCAAAACCCAAAGGATATATGTCATGAACAAATCTTGTTCTAACATATTGTTCTACCATGCACAGGGGGTAGCATGTCAAACCTTCACGTGTGTTCTAAATAATTAAAAGCATCATTGTTATTTCCTTACTGCAATATTGAGCGTGTGAGCAACTTAATTTTTAAGGAGGTTATTTTTGGGTCATTTAGTCATATTAGTTCCAAAAGGAAAGCCACTTAGCTAGGAATTTCTCTAAGTAGTGAAGTCAAAGAGCATCGCCTCCATTTATTTTTGTCAAGTGTGCACAACGAACAAAGTTAGAAGTCGTTCCTCTCCAGCCCCCGTTGTTTGTCTCTACGGCCACCAGTGATATCATGGATGCCCAGTGGAATTGTGAGAACTGTTATGTGGTTACGAATGGTTGTATTTTCCATATTGATCTGAACTACCAACCAGGAAAGAAACTTTAGAGGATGTGATGACTACACTTCTAGAATATATGGTTAAGGATATTAATTTATACTCTCTCCATTAAATCCTTTTCTATTGATTATCATCATGGGGCCGGGAGATAAGGCGAGTGTCTCAGAAGTTCCAATCGTGTTTGATTTCCAAAAGTTTTTCCTGAAGATGTCACTTCCCTACCTCTAAAAGAAGAAGTGGATTTTGTTACTAATCTCGTTCAGAGAACGCTCTAGTTTCTGTAGCGTCGTTTGAGATTCCTTCGATCAATCTAAGAGAGTTGAAAATCCAGTTAGAAGAGTTACTAGCCAAGCATTTCGTTTGGTCGAGTGTATCTATGTGGGGTACTTCAATCTTGTTAGTGAAGAAAAATAATGATAGTATACGATTATGCATTAATTACTGCAAGTTGAATAAGATCATTATCAATAACAAGTACTTGTCACTCTAAATTGACCACCTCCGGGATCAGTTGAAAGGAGCCTCTGTGTTCTTGAAGATTTATTTATGCTTTATCATTGTAATTGTTTACAAATTATTGTAACTCTAGGGCTCTCTCTTTTACCTTGCAAATTTTTTCTGTTCAGGTAGAACCACTGACGTTCATCGTCTACAAGGTGATACACACACACACACACACACACACACACACACACACACACACACACACACACACACACACACACACACACACACACACACACACACACACACACACACACATATATATATATATATATATATATATATATATATATATATATATATATATATATATATATATATATATATATATATATATATATATATATATATATATATATATATATATATATATATATATATATATATATATATATATATATATATATATAGAGAGAGAGAGAGAGAGAGAGAGAGAGAGAGAGAGAGAAAGAGAGAGAGAGAGGACATATCATATGAGAATGTCATTTTTATGTAAGAATATGAGAATGAATCTGAACCATTAGATTTTAAAATAAATTGTGGAAATTATATGTCATTTTTTTCTCTCTCCTCTATTATTAAAATAAATGATGGAGGAGAGAGAGAGAGTGAGAGAGAGAGATGACACATAATATCCATTATTTATTAAAAATCTAATGGTTCAGATTTCGTCATAATGTTCTACCAAGGACCATGTTTCTATCCAAATCATTAATCTTAAGATCTTTTTTAATAACTTCTCTTATAGTCTTTATTCACTTCATCCCGTCTACTCTTCTTACTACAGAATCTATAGGTCTTCTCTCTACATGCTCAAACCACCTAAGTCTATTTTCCACCATATTCTCTACTATAGGTGCTATCTCAACACTCTACTATAGGGATAATATGGACTCCAACTTTCACCTCTAAGTTAGAAACGCTTCTTCTTTTGTTGAACTTACATTCCATATACTTCGTCTTACTTCTACTTAGACAAAAACCATGTCTTTCTAGAGCTCGTCTCCGCGAGCATATCAATATTAGGTTTTTGTGACGCCAAACACAGGGTCACATCAATGCACACACTCGCTCACAAGTCTTTTGTTGCCGGCAATGGCACAAGTTGGTGGTATGGTAATGTTGCTTTGCAGTTTCGTAATTCCCTTGATTGGAGGTGACACCTCGGTTAGGGGTGTGCAAAAAAAACCGGTTCACAAGAACCAAATTTAAAAATATGATGCACCGATTTCAAAAGTCCATATTATTTGGTTTAAAAATTAGTCCAAATTCATTTTACTAAAACCATTAAAAACCGGTGTCCACTTTTTAAAACCACGGTTAATCCATTTTTCAAACTCTGTCTTTTTTTTGTTTCATGGTCATAAATGATAATTAAGGTAATGTATACGTAATAAATAAAACTTATATATATATATATATATATATATATATATATATATATATATATATATATATATATATATATATATATATATATATATATATATATATATATATATATATATATATATATATATATATATATATATATATATATATATATATATATATATATATATAGGTGTGCAAAATAACCAATAACCATAAACTAAATTCCTATCCAAATTAATTCAAATTTTAAAATCCAGTCAAATTTATATTTTAAATTTGGTGGCCCATTTATCAAATTAAAAAAAAATCGGTAATTATTTGTTTCAAACCGGATTGAGATTCGGTAACCATTTTTCAATAAGTTTTAAAAATAAAAGTAGAATAGTTTGGGAAAATAAAGATCAACACCCATAGTTTGCAATAAAATTGATTTGGTTTAAAGTAGAATAAGTTTAAGGTAGATAGTTTGCAATAAGTTTCACGATTAATTGATTTATATCAATTCAACGTACTTCTCGATTAATTGATTTAATTCACAATGAAAAGGAATTAGTCTAATTCCAGTTTTACATTGAGTAGTTTAAAGTTTAAGATATATGGAGTGTTGATTTAATTCAATGTAAAACTGGAATAAAATTGATTAATTGATTTATATCAACTATTTGATAGTTTGCAATAAGTTTAAAGTAGAATAAGTTTCAAGTGGTTTATCAATTATTTGATAGTTTGCAATAAAATTGATTTTTTTTAAAAATTAATTTTAAAATTAATTTCTTTAAAGAAAATAAAAAATTGGTTTTGAGAGAAACCGGTTTAAAATTGGTTTTTAAAAAAACTGTTTTTTTTTTTAAAATCGGTTTGAAACCGAACCAATTCATTTGTAAATCGGTTTTAAAAAAATAAACCAATTTTATATAAATAATTTTAAGATCCAAACTAAAGCATATAATGATTTAGTTTGGTTTATAATTCATGCACACCCCTAACCTCCGTTATGAGTCTGACACTTACTAAACTTCAAAATCCATACTTACTAAACTTCAAAAGCGATTCAGAATAGCCAAGATGGATGGTAAGGGTCTACGTTGGAGGTGAAGTTATATGCGAGGATAAGTTTTTGATCGCTATGGACTAGTAAAGCACATTCCGATGAATTCGCTTCATCTTTTAGCTATATACTACGTGAACTATTAATCTATGCATTTTCATTGATTAAACAGATATATTTTCAAGATGAATGCAAAGTATATATACTATGATTCTACATATAATAACAGACACAAAGTAAATACTTGGAATATTAGAAGATAGAGTTTCATTTGTCATAGAGTAACAGACTTAGGAAAAAGCTTCATTTGCAACTTTCTAGCATCTCAGTTCAATTATCTACATGAAATGTTTTCGATTACAAGCCAAGAGCGCCGAGCGGTGTCTTCCCTTGTCCAGCTTCGAAGTAGAAAATCAGCATAGCTAACATAGCGAGCCTAGCATGCTTAATCTCAGCGAGTTTCAATCTCTCTAACTTGTCTGTATCTGGAATGTAAACTCCGTTTTGGATGGTACCAGCGAGTGACAAAGGATCGAAGAATTTTCCACCAGGGTAGCCTTGTTCTCCGGTTGAGTTAACAAAGTTCTCCGCGGTTTTAGACCATGGAGTAGCCCATTCGACCGACTGTGAATCAGGGTTGAAGAAATCAACCCATCTCTTGCTCTCTACCCATCCCATGAGAATCAACTGTGTGCCTAGAAGAGTACCGAACGAGAATGGAGCAATCGCGTTGGGGTCAGCTCCGGCCTCGAACCATGGAACTCCACTCCATGCCTGACCAACAAAGATACCTAGAACTGCAGCCATTGCCCATCTTCCATGAATGAGCTCGGCTTCTCTGTACCATTTGAGAAATGCCGGGTCCTTGCCAAGGCCTAGTGGGTCGAAACCAAAGTCACCTGGTAGCCTACAATTGAATAACATTAAACCGTCAAAATTCCGAAAGAACCTGTAAAATTGATTCTAGCCGAGTCGAATGTAAATTGGTTTATGTTTGAATACGATCATGTAAAATTCACCTCGAAGTGATATAGTTAGAATCAAAAACTACAAATGCTAGCATATAGTTAGAATCAATTATAGAGTAAAAACTGATTATACACATCAACATCTAAACATGTCAAAATCAAATTCTACGCTAGAACATCTAAACAAGTCAAATTCAATTCTACTCTTATACTTATATTGCAAGAAAACGCAAGACTTACGATCCGTCGAGCCATTCGGGGTCGACGAGGTTTCCGCCGAATGTAACACCAGGGATCCATGATTTCTTAGGTGCAGAAGCAGCAGCAGCAACAATAAGTCTTCTAGGACTAACAGCTGCAGCACCAACTTTGCTTCCAATGGCAGTAGCTAGCAGGGTTTGGCTCCTCTTTCCACCAGATAAGAAGGAAGAACCCAAACCATTCAACACAGCACCAGATGTTGCAGCTGCCATATCTATTCTCTTCACACTCTAAAGAAGTTTTACTGAAGATGTATAATGAGAATATAATAATAGAAGTAGCTAGATAGTATTTTATGTGAAGTGGGTGATAATGTGAGGGGTTTTCATAGAAGGCCAATGAAATCTGAATGAAGAAATCCTAAGGTATATGGATAGATTTTGGACCAATAGGAAATGGATGTGAATCCTTAGCTGATTTGGCTTCCAGCCACGTGGACACCTTGTTCCACTACTTCACTGTGGTTTTGCTATCTTTTGTTTTTGTTCATGTGAATTTTGGAACACAAGCAAGTAAATCCAAACAAAACAAATTTAATGAAGCAACATGTGAGGCTCTCAGCATAGGGTGCTTCTTAGCCTCACAAAAATATGGTAATCTAAATAATAAATTTAATCCAATCTAGATTTAATAGTCACACTATGTAATAGGGAAAATGTGAAGTCCTCTTTTAAGATATTAATCTAATGATAGCAAAGTGTTTTTTTTATATTATACTTATAAAATATTTGGATGTTTTACCAAATTGTATTTTCACAAATTTTCTATAATAGTTTGTAGTTTCTTTTTTATTTAAAACTCATGGTTTTTAAACTATTAGGTGATATTTCTTCTCTTTCATGTTAAATGATATTAAGCATGACAAATCTTAGGAAGAGATAGATTCTATGTATCCAAATCGATTATCTAATAAATTAATGTTTTTTTTGTCCTAAACATTAATGAGGATGAATACTTTTAAAATTTGAAACTCCTCCCAAATGAGTTAGGGTATCCCTAACTTAACTACTCCTATGTGATGAAAACAATTTTTTATTTTCTATCCTAAATAAGTCATATTTAAAGTTTTTTTCACACAAATTAATCAAAGTAATAAATTCATAAATAAAGATACTAATTTTACTAAATTAACATCATTAGTTATTTATTTAAGTATTTAAGGTAACCTCAACGGCATGTTTAAACATTTTTTATCTTAGACTTTTTAGTGTTATTTAATCCTAGAGATATAAAGAGTCGCCTAAATCTATCGGTGATCTTTTGAATGCAGTTGAAAAATTATTTGAAGAATTTTTTACAATGAAATCAAAACATATATTATTTATTTGCAATTGTGCATGATTGAAATCATGATTGTGCGCGTGTGTGTGTGCGTGTGTGTGGGGGGGGGGGGGGTGTGGGTGTGTGGCTGTATGTGTGTGTGTGTGTGGGGGTGGGTGGGTGGGTGTGTGTGTGTGTGCGTGCGTGCGTGCGTGCGTGTGTGTGTGTGTTGCCCTTACAAGGGCATGAACACTAAGAGGCTTTAGTATGTGTATAACACATAATGGTGGTCAGGACTTATCCACGACAGCGAGAAGTCTTGTATAGTGGTATTTTGTGGTAGTTTAGGGGACCTCCTCACATAAGGTAATAGACTTTATATCTGGGTATGTAGGGTGTGATCTATATATGTTAAGATATACCCTTTTCCCTTTGGTAGAGAGGTATTTATAAAGGATTTTTGGGTCTAGGATTTAGAAAATCCATATGGGGCGTCAACCACTCCCCCGTAACTAGGGAATATTATTGACACTCTATTCTCAAGGAAGTCGGGGTAGACTCATTCTTCCCTGACTAACGGAGGCAACGTGAGGGCAAGGTGTCTTAGCCTTATTTTAATGGTGTCAAAACTTATAGTGCTCGTACGTTGTAATTTGGACGGTCTCATCCCATGTTAGTTTGCACTCATGTTTTACAATGCACGGAATAGTCTAAAATCATGTGTTTATACATATAGGAGCATGTCATATATGTTTTATGTGCATTTGATCTTATTAGGAAACTTAGGATTGCATAAACATAGGTTAGGTAGATCATAATATGAGCAAAAACTCATTTTGAGTGTTTCAGGTGGATGAGTCGACTCAAAGCCCTGCTTAGTTCGACTCATAAAGGTTAATTTTCATTCATTTGCGCACGTCGACCCTTGGGTTGACTCATACTGTAAGCATTTCTATTTTCCTATTTTAAGCAAGTTTGCGTTGACGCATGGACCTTTCTGGTCGATGCATATCTTATATTTTTGCATTGTTTTACTCTCGGGTCTACTCAAATCGACCCCCCCCCCTTTAGCATAGGTCGACTGTTCGCTGACTTATGCATACTTTTCTGATCTATCATATTTTAAAATGTTGTTATTCTGTTATTTGGTCAAGGCATAATATATATACATTATGTCTCATCATTTTCACACATAACAAGAAAAGTGAAAGATATATACCAAATTATTCTCATCATCTTCATCCTCATTCTTGCATTTTCTCAACAATTACACATGACAATTTTTGTTGATCTTTTGCATTATTGAGGTGATAACTGTAGATGTTTTTGATTGGCTTTATTTTGTGGCAAAATATTGATGTATGTGTGAATGTCATGATTGATGTTATGACATACATAATGAGTGTACTGCAGGGTAAGTTTGGATAGCTAAGAGCAAAGTATGTTGGATGTCATGCTGGATGTTATGATATCAAGCAGCTGACATCAGGACGCGTGTTTTAGGTTCTGGTATATTGCATGAGGAAGCTCAGGCTATACTTTAGGAAACATTTTAGGAAGCTTGGTTATCACAGGCGAAATGCCAGGCATGGCTGAGGATAACCTAGGACCAAACTGTTAGTGCGCAACTTAATGAAAAGAGGTCTTAACTGGGTTAAACCTAATTTCAGCACTCAGGCCCAAGATCTTTCTGCTGCTTATAAAAGCCAAAGTAGCAATCCTAATTGAAGACAGTTCTTGGCAAGGATGTTGGGCAGAGCTTTTGAGACAGAGAGTAGAGTGTGTTTTTGAGTAAAAAATGCAGTTTGTGTACTGTGATCTTCATGTGTGTGATTGTGTCTTAGGATACTTGTGAGTCAAGCAATTATCTCTTAGATGATTGCATTGGACTAGTGTGTTCTGAGATGTACTCTATGTGTGTCACTCTAAGCTTTTAAGCATGAGTGTTGTGTCTCTTGATTGAAGCTGTGAAGCAAAATCAAGGTTTGTTTGAAGTGTGTCTTCAATTTTATTTGTAACTGAATTGGTTGATATCACTGCTATGATTGAGGGGGAGTGAGTAGGTACTCAGGTCTAGTGTTAGGCTGAAGTGTCATTGGGTAGGTCTTAAGTGAAGAGTGCAAACTGGTTGTTTGACTCTAAATTAATTCTACTGATAGTGAATTTCCTCCCTGGCTTGGTAGCCTCCAGATGTAGGTGTGATTTACACTGAACTGGGTCAACAATTCTCTGTGTTATTTAAAACTTTCAATTCCTGTTTATTATTAAGTTATGTAGTCTGCTCAGTAGTGGATGTCATAACATCCACTGTAACATCGACTGTTTGGTACCTAGAATTTCAATTGGCATCAGAGCAGGCACCCTGTCTATTATTTTCTGGGTGAGATCTAGGGAAGATAAATTCTGGTACTTTGGACAAGGATATAAGATTCACAAATAGATCACTAATTCTGGATGGCTTTAACTATGACTAATGGAAACCTCGCATGATAGCTTTGTTGAGGTCTCTGGATAGCAAGGCTTGGAGAGCAGCTAATTCAGGATGGGAACATCCAGTGAAAACAGATAAAGATGGGGAAATTGTGCTAATACATGAAGAAGAGTGGAACAAAGAGCAAGAAGCCTTGGCTCTTGGGAATTCGAAGGCCTTTAATGCTCTATTCAATGGAATAGACAAGAACATTTTCATACTTGTGCATCACTGTGAACTGGCCAAAGAGGTTTGGGACACCCTCAAAACAACTCATGAAGGTACCTCTAAGGTCAAGATGTCAAGATTACAAATGCTGGCCACTAAGTTTGAAAATATGAGAATGAAAGAGGATGAGACTATTCATGAATTCTACATGAATATTCTTGAAATTGCCAATACCTCAGGAGCTTTAGGAGAAAAGATGTCTGAAGAAAAGCTTGTAAGGAAGATTCTCATATCATTGCCCAAAAGGTTTGCCATGAAGGTTACTGCTTTTGAAGAGGCTCAGGATATAAGCAACATGAAGGTTGATGAACTCATTGGTTCTCTACAAACCTTTGAGATGGGGATGTATGAAACTGTTGAAAAGAAGAACAAAAGCATAACTCTTGTGTCAAATACTGCAGAGGACTCAGATGAAGACAATGGTGGAAGTGATAAAAATCTGTCAGAAGCTATAGCTATGCTTGGAAGACAATTCAACAAATTGATTAAAAGAATAGATCAGAAGACCAAACCTAATGTCAAGAACATCTCCTCTGACATCAGCAGAAGAGATAAATATAAAGAGAATCCCAACCAAGGTAAAGGATTTCAGTTCCATGAATGTGAAGGCTATGGTTACATTAGAGCTGAATGTTCCACCTATCTCAAGAAGCAGAAGAAAGGCTTAACTGTCACCTGGTCAGATGGAGATTCTGAGAGTGGATCAGAAGAAGAGTCTACAAAACATGTCACTGCACTAAATAGTGTATGTGTATCTGACGATGATTCTAGTGAAGATGAGCTGACCTTTGACGAGCTTGCATCTTCATATAAAAAGTTATGCATCAAAAGTGCATAAGTATATCAACAAGGGGGGCAGCAGAAGAAACTCATAAGGAAGTTGGAGGTTGAGAAGGTAGAGCATCTTACAATAATAGACTCACTCAAAAGTGAGGTCAGCTTGCTGAAATTTAAATTGGATCAGATGTCAAAATCCATAAGGATGCTAAATAATGGTACTGATACTTTAGAAGAAATTCTACAAAGTGGTCAGAAAGTAGGAAACATGTATGGGCTAGGATTTATTGATAAACAAGGACCCATATTGGGGGACAAGAGGATAAAGACTGAAAATCATAGGTCAAAACGGATGTCATGACCAATTTCTCAACATCAGGGGAACAGAAGTATGAATCAGACCAAGAAAATGTTTCAAAGGTAGGGGTGTTACTACTGTGGAAGATTTGGACATATTAAACCCTTCTGCTTCAGGTT